CTTGCTGAAGACTAGTTCAGCAATGCTCCAACTAATAACTATCTTCCTAAAAACTAGGACAGCTGACCAACAAATAACAAAAATAAAGATTTTTTTAAGAGTGGGGCTATCTAGAAGAAGCCAAGAGATTGTTTGATGGGATGCTCTACTTTCAAGCCATGTCCAAGAAGGAAATTATGGGGTAGAAGCGGTTTATACCTTTGTTGAGTTGGTGAAGGAAGGTATGGAGCTTGTGCGTTAGAGTTAGATCATCACATTGAACCATCCCCTGTGTGTTGTGGATATGTTGGGTAGGGCAGGGTGGCTCGATGAGGCAGAGGAGTTTGAGCGTTAGATGTCAACAAAGCCAGGGTTATTTGCATTGCAAAGCTTGTTTATGGCTTTTAGGATTCATGGGAATGTCGAAATGGGTAAAAGGGTTGCTGAGGCTTTAATGCAGAGATGGAACTTACTCTATGAGGCGGTGGCAATGGTTTTTGGATCCCACGGCGGCAATAGTCAATAGTTTCTTCTCCCCACGGCGGCAACGGTTTTTTCTAAAGTGGCGGCGGCCGCAACAATTTCTTCTACGTGCAGCGGCAATGGTTCCCACGATGAGCAACAGTGGTGCCCAAACCGAATACAACCCAACTTTTAATCAGGGTTATTTTGGTATTTCAAAAATTTAGATTTAAACAATTTTTAAAAAAATATGGGCATTTCGGTAACTTTACAATAATCTGTAACGTGAGTTAATGAAAATGGACCTAAGTATCTATTTCTAACTTTTTTTTATAAATTAAAATTTTAATATTAAAATGATAGAAAATAAATAAAAATATATTATCGATATGTTTATAAAAAATGCCACACACACACATATACTTGATATACGTGTTTATGGGATTAAGGGTGTCAATCGACCAGTTTTAGATTGGATCCATCGATCCAAATCTTATCAAATCGGATTTGGACAATCTATTATAATTATTAGATTGGGCCAATACAAAATAAATTGACCCATATTCTTATTAATTAGAATTGTACCTGATGATGCGCAATCCGGCCGGTCTTATCTGTCAACGATCTTGCCTCTGAACTGAGTAGCAGAGAACCTGAAACGGAGGAGATGAGGAAGCTCCGGGGAGAACCCGGTGTAAAGGCTCTGAAACTTAAGTTAGAATCCTTCAAAGGCAAGATAAAACCAGATAGCGCAAAGTTTGCATACCTCCTCTTTGGGGGTGGAGAGCCTTTT